ACTACTACTACTACTACTACTACTACTACCACTACTACTGCTACCACTACTACCACCACCACCACCACCACCACTACTACTACTACTACTACTACTACTACTACTACTACTACTACTATTACTACTAGTACTATTACTATTGTTACGACGGCTATTTCTACTACTATTGCTACTACTACTACCACTACTACTACCATTTTACTACTACTGTTTTTATTACTACTGCTACTTCCACTGCTACTACAACGACTACGACTACTATTACGACTCCGGTCACGAGAGATACTATTGCGAGTACTGTTACTACTGCTACTGCTACTTCTACTAGTTTGACGACGACGCTTATATCATTATCATTACCACTACTACTACGACGACTACTACTATTATTACTCGTGATACCACTACAACTACTACTACGACCACTACTACCAGTACTACTTCTACTACCACTACGACTACTACTGCTACTACTACTACTACCACTACTACTTCTACTGCTACTACTACTAGTATTACTACTACTACTACTACTACTACTACTACTACTACTACTACTACTACTACCCCGAGTGCGACTCTCACTTCTATTACGACTACGACTACTACTGCTATTTCTTTGTCTTTTATTGCGACTACGGCTACGACTACGACCACTACTACTACTACTACTATTACTACTACTTTCTCTTCTACTACTACTGTGACTACTACTACTATTGTTACTATTACTACTACTACTACTACTACTACTACTACTACTACTACTACTACTACTACTACTACTACTACTACTACTACTACTACTACTACTACTACGACGACTACTACTACTACTACTACTACTACTACTACTACTCTGGCGATTATTACTTCTACTACTACGACCATTTCTATTACTAATACAAACCAGCATTCCCATTACTACTATTCCTACTACTACTACTACTACTACCACTACTACTACTACGTGTTGTATTACTACTACTACTACTTCTTCTACTACTACTACTACTACTACTACTACTACTACTACTACTACTACTCCTACTACTTCTACTACTAGTGATACGACTGCGACTACTACTACTGCTACTACTACTACTACTACGACGACGACGACTACTACTACTACTACTACTACCACTACTACCACCACGACTTACTACTACTACGACTACGACTAATACAGTGACTACCACTTTTTCTTGTACTACAACTACTACTACTACTACTACTACGACGACTTTCTACGACTACAACTATTATTTCGAATTTTATTACTACGACTGTTACGACCACTGCTACTACTACCACGACTGCAACTACGACTACGACTACCAGCACGATTACTACTACGACTACGACGATGTTTACTGCTCCGACGGCTACGACGACGACCCGCACCACAACTACGACAACAACTGCTTCTACGACTACCTTTATTATTCTTGCCCCAAGTCTTATTACTACCACTACTATTACTCCTACTCCTACTTTGCTTTCTACTACTACGTACCTTTGCTACTACTACTACTACTACTACTACTACTACTACTACTACTACTACTACTATTACCACTACTACTACCACTACTATTACTACTACTACTACTACTACTACTACTACTACTACTACCACGACAGCGACTACGACTACGACGACGACTACGGGTACCACTACTACTACGTACCAATACTTTTGCTATTGCGACTGCTACTACGAGTTCTACCAGTATTGCTACTGCTGCTACCTCTTCTGCTACGAGCGCGAGCATTTCTACGGCTACCACTACGTACTACTACGACGGCGACTATTTCTACACGGCTACCACTACGACTACCAGTACCACTACCATTAATACTAGCACTTGAAGTATTACGAATACTTATTTTCCTTCTTCTGGTAGTACTATTACTACTACTACCAATACGACTACTACTACTACTACTACTACTACTACTACTACTACTACTACTACCGCTACTACTAATACTACGACTAGTAGTACAACTATTAGTTTTACCACTACTGATATTATTACGAGTACTACTACGGCTAAAAACTGCTACGAATATGCCGACGACAAGTAGTAAAATTAGTGCTACTCCTACTTCGACGACTACATCTACTACTACCCCGACGACTACAACGGCAACTATTCTTCTTACGGCTACTACTACTACTACTACTACTACTACTACTACTACTACTACTACTACTACTACAACTACTACTACTACTACTACTACTACTACTACTACTACTACTACTACTACTACTACTACTACTACTACTACTACTGGTACTACTACTACTACTACTACTACTACTACTACTACTGCTGCTACGACGACTACTACTACTACTACTACTACTACTACTACTACTACTAGCACTAGTACTACTACGACTACTGCTTCTACTACTACTACTACTACTACGACTACTACTCCGATGACTACTACTTCTACTACTACTACTACTACTACTACTACT